TTGACGCTGATTTTGTTGCCTCCTCCGCTTTCGCCTCAACCCTCCCACCTTGTGCTAGCTTTGAACGTTTGCCATTTTCATTTTCACCACCTTCAACTATCTAATAATAATATTTCGTAGTTAAAATGGAAACAACTTCTCAACAAATAACAATTAAACTACCGTGTTATCGTGATTTGGCATTGATGATTAAAAAGGTGTAGGTATTGACTTCTGCTAACAGGCAAGTTCTATGCAGTTATGGAAGAATAATTTAGGTTAAATAATGACAAGAACGAAAATTAATTTGGGAATTTTACCTCGGCTGAATTTGATTTAATTTTTGCAGATTTTCTCTTCCTGGAGCTCATCGTCTCGGTGGAGATCTTGGAGCCCGTTTCTCCACTCGGGATTTGTTGAGAAACAGTGGACTCGTTGGACCCCGACAGTTTACTCAATTTATTGTCGTTCGCCGATCCGCCATTCCCGAGGGCCGAGAAGCTCGAAACACGGGATAATTTGGCATCAATCGAGGAAAATGGAGAAGAGCTGCTGGATCTGATCCCAAATTCGCCATTGAAGGGACCGGCGGCGAGCGGTGGCGCCAGGGCTGCCGACCTCTCCGAATTGGGGATCGGCAGATTCAGCTTGGGTGAGCTGCTGTTGGAATCTGCAATCACGCCGCAGCCGATCACCGGCAAAGAGTTATTGGGCGGCAGGGACGAGTCTAAGAGGCTCAACTGTTCGTAGCTGAAAGAGTGATCGGCCCCGCAGTTCACTTCATTCCACCGTGAAATTCCGGCGTGCATAAAGTAGTCTTTGTCCATTAAAAAGGAAAGAAAAAAGAAAAAGGAAGAGGAATCTCACTCTCTGACTGAAAAAAAGCTCAGGGAAAAAGTAAATGGCGTTTGAGAAATGATGTCGCAAAGAAAGCTGAAAGTGCTTCAGAGTAATTCTTGTACAATGTTCTTCAGAATATATATATATATATACAGAGAGAGAGAGAGAGAGAGAGAGAGAGCTTATATCATCAATGGGGGATGAAAGACAGAAAAAGGAAAAGATGGAATATGAGGTGGGGACAAAGAAAGGGAAAATGGCAAGAGCATAGTAGAAAAGGGGAAGGGTAAACGAGGGTGGTGATGAAGTTATATAGCTCATAGGCGAATAATTTTTTTGACCTTTTCAATATTTATTATTACATATAGAAATAGATACTCGTAAAAAAATTATAAATTATATCAGTAAATAATATAAATTAAAATATACCACTAGACATGGCTACGGGACAACCGACCCGCC